TTGCTTTTTAGTTGGGCTCTCTGTGATTTTCAGAGTTGATAGCAAACTGCTGTGCACATTTGTGTCTTTTGGAGCAGTAGCGAGTGGAGTTTCATTGGTCTGTGGAGTGGTGATTGCAGCTTCTGTACTTGACTCTGACCAAGCAATGGTGGAAGAAACTTGTGATAGAATCTCTGCCATGGATGTTTTGTGCAGGATAATGGCTGAGTATTTCTCAGTACTGGTGGATGCATGGGTGTTTATCATTTTCTTCACAAAGCATGTTATCACAGTGCTGTTAATGGCCTCTTCAATGGCTTCATAGTTCAGTTCATGCTGTGAAAGTAATATAAACAGATTTTGATCAGATATGGTACACTTAGTTTTTACTCATAGTATTCTGAATGCATATAAAAATCCGATTTGTTACCTTGTTTTCTAAGTCTTGCATCTCCAATAAGGTGAAAGGTAGTAACTGAAGAGCATCGTTGTCATAAAGATCAAGCGTCAAAACTCCAGAATAATCAGCAAGTTCTACAGTTAATCGGCATCTTGCAGTAATATTTACTTGTTTGTTGCATGAAGTGCAAACAATTTTCCACGCTGGCTTTCCTCTGAATGATTTGTGGCATTGTGGACAAGCATTATACCATAATCGTTGGCTCTTGTCTAGTAACCTTGGAGTACCACGCAACCAGTAGGCTTTTTTCTGTATTAAAGTCACTATTGTTCAGCTTACATTGATAAGGAAATTGAGATGTAGATGTGAATATTTAACATGTTTAAGAAGAAAATGAAAAATCCTGAAGTAAAAAGGGATGAAAATAAGAGTTATTGGATGAGTTATTGGTACAAGAGGTCAAGAGTAGGGAATCAAGTGATGAAGCTGGCAAAAAAAACAAAGTGTATCTTTCAAATGTTTTTGGTGATAAAGCATGAGGGGTACAATTTACCGTAGGAAACGCAAGGAAATCTTGAATAGTTGTGAGCTCATCATCTCTTGGTTGTGGCAGAAGCTTAGCTCGGTTGTGGTATGCTTTTTCTGCCATCAGTTTCTTGATTTCTGCTTGTGTCTCAGTAGCCCTTGTGAGTCAAGATAAAAGTTTCATTTGTAACGTTTAGAATATATTTGATAGAAAATATTTTCAAATGATTACTTATGAGAAGAAGTAGTACCAGTGTTTGAGATCAGCAGTTTGTTGTATCGGAGGATTAACCAGAATGCTTGATCCAAATTTTGTTGAGAGATTCAGTGCTGCAATAATTATGTGTTGTAAGGTACATAGTATTATGAATACATACTAAGTCACTAAACATGCGGAGCATCAGAAATTTGTTATGCACTCACTGTGATATGATGATACTTTAATTCGAAGTGCAACAATGAGCGGCATTGTGTCAATGATATTTGCAATCGTTTGGCCTTCATCTGTTTCATGCTCACCCCACAGAGTCAGAATCACTGGCATCATGCTGCATTGTGTTTTATTGATAAGTGACAATTTGTTAGAAAAGGATATTTTGATCAATTTGTGATGGTATAGAGTTGGTATAGAATAAATGGATGGTTTTACATATCTTTTGTCTATAATCACTACTTCCCTGGTAGCAGTAGTAGCTCTCTGTATTCGAGGATGAACTTCAGCGACAATGCCTAAGACATCTGATTTTGGAATGTGCTTAGTTATAACTGTTATGAAGACTACGCATATTAGCAGTTGAGGACATGGTTTTGTGACTTACCTATATCTGTATTATCATCTATGTGCTGGTGGAATTTTGTAAAGGGCGAGAATCTGAAGACAGCTGGAATCTCAGGTGGCTGGACTTCATCTATTGCTTGAACAACAGTAGAATTATCTATGTACCATGTACACTGATTTGGATGACTGCGATATTCTGATGGTGTGTACTCAACTTTAGCATTGCAGAGAATGTATCGTTTGTAGAGTTGGAAATGGTTTTTGAAGAAGTAGATGTCTGATTTATAAATCATTGCTTCAACTGTTGTACCCTGGTAACAAATATAGTTGCGTTGATCTGAATATAAAGGTTGAGTAATAAAGTATATAGAGTGGAGTTCAGAATTTCGATTACCTGCTAATCAATTAATATCAGCTTCTGATATCGGTTGCCGGCTTTTGAAAGTAATGCCTTTTGCTTGTCCAGAACCTGAACCAGAGCTGTCCAGTTTTGTAGTCCAGGGATTATCTCACTGAATGGAATGATGTTTCTTTCTTGCTGTGACTTGTAATAAGAATACATGAGTACAGAATGAAGACTATAAGAGGTATATGATTATAGACATGGATAAATAACTCGTATGAACATGCTTAGAGCAATTACTGGTAAGCTAGATCTAGTACTTCTGTATATACTATATTTTCAGTAATCGAGTCTTGTTCATCATCAAATATGGATGGTTTGATAAGAATTTTCACAGAACTACTGTTCTTTGCTCTTGACATTGCTACATATAGCTGTCCATGTGAAAAAACTGGTTCACGCAAATATATGCCAACAAAATCAAGCGTTTGTCCCTGAGCTTTGTTTATTGTCATAGCAAAACAGGGCCGGATAGGAAATTGAATACGTTCAAATGGTACTGGTGAGTCTGAACTGTTCTCTACTCTGAAAGATATTCTGTGGATGAAGACCTCTTTTCCAGCAAATTCACCACATGTTATGACCGCATGTATGATATTGGAGCTCAAGGATTTCCATATCAGTCTAGTGCCGTTGCATAATCCCTGAGGAGCATCAATGTTTCTGAGTAACATGATAGGGCAATATGGTTTAAGAAGTAGCTTATGAGGTGGAAAACCATTTGGAGTTAAACTGTTCAGCAAGTCCTCCATGATTGTCTGGTCAGAGCTGTCTATACACTTGTCTCGACTGATATATTCTTGGAGTTGTCCTTCTAAATGTACAATGAGTCTCTCATTAATTTGATCAACAAAGTCATTTTTTGTTGTCAGTATAGCACGATTAACTGCAGAGAGATTTTGGTCAGAAAATGCTTTCAAATCTGGAAATACTGTCCTGATGAGTGCAGTCAGTGATTGTTCCTCATTTGTATATCTTATCAGCATTGATGGAGGTATCTGGATAGAATTCTTGAAGATAACTGGCTCCATTCCATTTCCAATGCGAAGTAGATATTGAGTAAACTCTGGATCATGTCTTACTCTCATGTTTTCAGTCAGATGTAATCTACGTAGCTGTGGCCATATGTACGAATTGACTATGCTTGCATCAATAAATTCAGATTTTGATCCCTTTGTTACCACTGGCAAGACTTGACGGAAATCGCCTCCAAGAACAATGACCTTTGATCCAAACAAATCGTTTGAGTCCATTATATCTCTTAGAAGTTTGTCAACACTTTCAATTGAGCCCTTATGCGCCATTGGAGCTTCATCCCAGATTATAAGAATTGCAGATTGAAGGAGTTTTGCTAATGAGCTTTGTTTACTAACTCTGCATTGCTTATCTGGTGTTCCAGCAATTGGTATCTTGAATCTTGAGTGAGCTGTTCTTCCACCTGGTAAAATGGAAGCCACAACTCCACAGGATGCTGTAGCAAGAGCTATGTATCCTTTTGATCTGGTTTCTGCTAGTAGTGCTCGATAGAGGAATGTTTTTCCTGTTCCACCTGGTCCATCAATGAAGAAGATCCCTTTCTTGTGAACAAAAACTGCATTCATAATAATGTCAAAAGCTTTTTTCTGATCAGCATTTAGTTGTTTAATTGCTAATAGATCATGCTCTGGTACAGAGATTCTTGTTTCAGCTATTGTATCACGGGTGTTTTTGTTCAAGGCATCAAAATACAGGGTATTTGAAACTAAAGCGTATTGATTAATGTCTTTTCCCATTGATTGGAGAAACTCATTTATTTGACATAGTACCTGCAAACGAATCTGATCAACTGATATTTCTGGAATGTTGCTCATATCTTCAGATAATGGCTGCTCAAATTGCTCCCAAAGATATCTTGGATTTGAAGGAGGAAAATGAACGAGAAAAGTCGCAAATAATCTTCTCAAACTATATGGCATGTGATACAAACTTGTTTCTTCAAGACATTGTTCTTGTGACTTATCGAACTCAAAGTAACCTCTCAAGATTGCTGCCTCACGAAAAGTGTGTACATAAGCTCCATTTATTGTTCTCAAATCATCAAATGAAGTTGGACTGTTGACATGTGTGAGGAGTAATCTGAGAAAGTATCGTTCTCCTTCCATTGGACTTGCTGTCACTATCCTACCTATAGAATCTTTTTGTTTTCTTGGCTCCCATTTTCTCCTTCCTGGATACCAGACAAAATGTTCAGAGAACTCTTTATAAGTGCATTTGAGGTTCTGAGCTAGAGGATCAGTAGAATTCATGTAAAAGAATTCTGTTAACATAGTTCTCTTAGCAAATCTGTTTCTTACTACATCGCGTAAGTCTTGATCTCCTCTGAAGTTCAATGGCTGACAATTTTCTAGGTGAAGTTGTAGGTGAATAATAGAAGGATGCATTTCAGATAGCAAGAATCTGTATATCCTCCATATACCTTCGACTGCACATACCCACCTAGCTGACTGGTAGTTTTTTATTTCATCAACTGTAGATAAATTAGCATCAGAATTTGAGTCATTAGAGCTGTCTGAATTCACTCGAAAATGGATCTTGTCATGACCTTTGTAGATATACTTATATATGTACTTCACTGCTTTCACTGTAGAGCAGATTTCAACATTTATATGGCAGTTGAATTTTGCAAGAAGGTAAGGGTTGTATGGAACAACCCATCTGTTATCCACTTCATGTCCACGAACCATCATCTTGTATCCATTGTTGCTTCTTTGGTAAGTGGGGTATGCATTATCCCCATGAAATGTTTTTTCAGAAAATGGCTTTGGATAATTGTTTCTACATTTTTTCTGACGTTGTCCTTGCATACAGACATTGTTTGGATTTTTTTTGCCACAAGGACCATGAATCATATGTCTACGAACCATGTTGAAAAGATGTTAATTTTTGCTCTCATCTGGAATCTCTGCACTAACGATTTGATCATAAGAATCTGTAGAGTAAAGCTTTGAACATGGCTTCAAGATTATGAGGAAATGAGCATGAAGAAGACCGCGCTTCTGGAATTCAATGACATAGGTGTAAGCAGCAACAGATCCAAATATCTCTTTTTTGAATAATTCTTGCTTCAACATATCAAGCTTTGCATGAAACACTCGAGTGAGTAAATCTGGTCTGTTGTGTCCTTCATCTGTTCCGAGCATATGATCCTTTATTTCTGGCCATGAAGGATTGCAAGTGGTCGTAATGAATAAATCTGGTTTACCAAATTTCTGTACCAAAGCCATAGCATCAACATATCTCCTTTTCATGTCACGCGGGCCTCCTATAAATGAAACTGGAAGCACCACTCGCTGGCCTACCTTTGAACCTTGGCATTGACCTGCTATGACGCTATCCATAACGCCTTGTAGTTCCTCTCTTCTTATAAATTCTTGTTTATTCTTATAGTAATCTAGTCTCTGGCTTTCGATTTTTATGTACATATCAACAACATACTGCTGAAGTAATCTTCCAGTGTTGAGTATATTTGGACAATATTTGTCTCTCATCTGCAATTTATAAGCATAATATTCTCGCATTGACACAGATTCACTGTTGTTTTCAGGATCATTGCAAGCTGAAAATTACATACATAAGCTACAAGTTATTGATTCAATTGGATGAAGCTGAATACATTGACAAAATATAAGTGATCTGTGTTCTCCATATAATCAATAAAAGTAGTATATTCTGCATATAAATCAGTGCACATGTTTAATTGTATAAGTAATGGATAACTAATGTATATAAGTAATATATAAGTCATTTGCATATGACTAATGTATGAGTCATTGGAGGTTGGAACTACCTTCTTGTTCAGCAGATATCATTTCTTCAGCAGATTTGTAGTTGGTTAGAACAGCAGTAGTTCTGGTTTTCTGAATACATCTTTTTCTCTTTTTTGGATTCTCTGTGGTCACTCTTCTGATGCCAGGATGCCAGCCTGTTTCACCAAGTGCAAATAATAGTGGATACTGCAGAGGATCGTAACAGCCATAATAATATTGCACCAGGTGATCCCTTCCTTCTTTTGTATAAATTTGGATGTGTCTGCATAACCTGATTCTGAATTTTGGGCTTCTGTCCAAAGAGCTGCAACTTGAGAGGCTGTTGGATGGTTGAATACTCGTTGATCATTTTCTGAATGTGATTTCAGCACTATCTGATATGAATCTAAATTTGGAACATTTCTGAGGCTTCGCAGAAAGCATGCGTATGGATTAGATTTCATCAGTTCCATGATCCTCAGTACTATAGTTTCTGTTAATCTTTCAGAAACTGCCATTCTATTTTGGAGCTCATGGTCTGTATCATGAAAATACAGCTGCAGATATAGTCCAGATCCTCCATGCGGAATAAGGTCTTTGATGAAGTGATAGGTCTGTCCCTGAACTTTGAATGTATATATACCATTTGTTCTCCTGCAAAGCGATTTATCATAGTGTACACCAAAGGAAGTGAAAGCAAACATATTGTTATATGTTCTGACATACGTACGAAAGGATAAAGCTTCATCAGAGTGACCAGTAAATAATTCTATAAGAATGTCTGGAAGGTTATTTTCATGTAGAACTACTTGTCCGTCAGAACAACAGAAATTAGGTGTCTCAGAGTGCATCATTTTTGCTCCACAGAATTGACAATCAGGTTTGCTAGGTAATCTATCTGCCTTGTCATTAATAAACTGCAGTGCATAAACTCCATCGACAACTTGATTAGCTGTAAAATTACCAATTACTTGAGTCAAACTAAATACTGAAAGTGAAAATAAGTATGTGGAAAAGCAACAAGTAATGGTTTGTAATCTATACCTCTTTTTTTTTCCTTTCTGTTACTGACGGCTTTCTTTTGTTTCACTGATGATTGTCTTGTGGCTGAATAGTTCAATTATATATAATCAGAATCACACATAAAAACCTGTATGTACATGCCGGTGGAAACATGATGAAGGTATTTGGATAATTTGTCAATGAGTCAGATATGCTGATATTCAATGTATGTAATAGCATTGAATATATGTGAGTAATAATCATGAACATCATTTGCATCATTGAACTGAAATATTTTGATCCATAGCAGAAGGAATTAAAGACTTTAATGTGTTTGGATGAGGTATTAAAGCCTGTATGACCATCATAGGTAGAATCAGCATAATTTCTGGATGCGTGCTAGTAATGATTGGTCAGATTGAAGGTAGTAACCTCTACTTGTCCTTGTTCTAGCAGAGCCACTGTGGGGAAGCTGGTACACTTGGTATGTTGGAAGCATGGTTGACAAATCTATTAAAGATAAAGTGGATCAAATTCTTATAAATAATGATATCAGAACTTTTTTAAAAAAGTTGCAAGAAGAATTATGACCTGAAGCCTCTTCAGCAATTTCTGTCAAGAATTTGTAGCAGTTCATACATATGAATGATTTATCTGATAAGAAAGAAGCTAATTAATATGAGTGCTAATGATAATGTTGATGGTTATATATAAGGAATGGCAATCACAATGCATTTTGAAGACTAAATGACCTGCACTCTGTGTCGAAGTTACGCACGTATGCTTTGTCTCAGAGTTAGATGCAGATCCTGCGTTTAAAAATTGAAAGTAGATCATTGCATAAATACAATAATGCTTATAATCTGACTGTAAACAATACATTGGAAATGAATTATGTAATCTACCTTTCTCATAACTTGAGAATGAAGAAATCTGTTCTTTTAACTTTTTACTTGACTCAGTATAAGATAGTTTAGCATTATTGTTTGCAGACTGAGAAGTTCGAATACCAGGTTTTGCAGGACCTATTAAAATCAATTATCAGCATAATAAAGGATAAAAAGTGTAAATTGTACCTCTTAAATAAAGGACCTATTAAAGGACCTATTAAATAGTACCTCTGCAGTGTCTTGTAAATTCAGAGGATGACAACTGATTGGGGGAAGCAGCTAATAATGATTCAGAAAAAATGTCAGCTGAGTATAGCTAAATATATTACTTAGAGAAGAATAAATAGTGTGGCTAACCTTGATTACAATCAATAATTCGATCAACATTGTCTATGTCTTTCAGAGTTTGAGAACTAGTTACTCTACTACCTTTATCATTCAAAGACAAACATGAAGCACGTAAGGGAAATACTGAATGGTGAACATACAAATGATAAAAATATAATAAGAGTGTTGATATTAGCATGTACCATGAGAACATTGTTCAGCAGCAAAGGTATGCATAACGGATGCAGAAGTTGGTGATTTGCGAGCCTGTTGAAATTGTTGTGGCAAGGACTTGCAAAGCATTTTTTCGAATTTTTTTCTATGATAGGCCTCTCTATTCTTTTTTCGACAAGCTTCTTTTGCTTCAGCCGAAAGAGCAGCAAATTTTTCCCTTTTTTTACGATTTCGATTATCCTTTTTCTCACGAAGTTTATCACGATCATCCCTTACGGACAGCTTAGAGCAGCTCATGTTTCTTATACAGAGAAACCAAGCACGAAACAAAGACACAGGAAGAAAAATCTAGCCGTATAGACAGATATATATTGTGTGTAAATATGCATGTACACAGCTATATATATTGATGCGTAAGGAACAAACTATGTACGTAAAAACAGGAAGGCAGTGAATACATAAGTAGAAAGCAGTTAAACCAAGCACAAACAGTACAATACCTCCATGAAGACAGAAAATAACTGCTGATTTGAGAGACTTTATGAAAGATATAGCTCAAAAACCTGACCAAACATTCAGATGAAACAAATACATACCACTATGAAACAAATGAACAGCTGATCTGAAGTAAATTTGGCTGAGGATAAAAGAGTACCTGATGTCAAGGAAGCAGTGAAATGCAGTGAAACTTGCATGTAAACTGGTTCTGTGGATGTATACCAAAATATTTCCACGTATCTCTTCTAGCTGTGTATTGTAGGTCCATCAGTAAAGAAGAAATATGGAAAACCGAGACAAAGGAAGTCAAAATGACAAAAATAGGCAAAATTGGGAGCATAGCAAAGCAGAAAATAAGCATCTAAATGGCCAAAAGAGTAAAAATCCAAAGGTAGTGGAAGACAACTGATTTAACTTTCCAGCTAGATGATTTAACTTGTTGGCCAAATTTCAACAGTAAATCTATGTGATCTTTATCTTCATCACAAAAACCTATCTCAAAATATCATTACTTATATATTATCCTTTATATATAATTTAGTTGAAATATATTTTTAGTTTTTGCCAAAAGTTTATTTTTAATTTTCATTGCAAAGTATAAATACAGTTTAATTCTTTAAAAAAATTAATATTTTTTAATTGAATAATTTGCAAACATCCATTATCATTTAATTGGAGTTTAATTCTCCATCTTTTAATTTACAATTGGAGTTTAATTCTCAATTTTAATATTTCTAAATCAATTACCATAATTCCTCATGTTTCAATAATTTAGTTGAAGTTTATTTTTAATTTTTTCCAAAGTTTAATTTTAATTTTGTTTTTAGGAATTTTAATTGAAAATTAATAATTTTTAATTGAACAAATAATCTGGAACATCCATTATCATTTTAATTTGAAGAGAAGCACAGGTCAACCCATCTCCAACGCATATACAATGAGAGGCCGAATGTTGCAGTGGAACGTTGAAGTGGGCTCCACCACAAAGCAGAAGCACAAACCAACGCATGCACAAAGCACAAGCACCAGAAAGCGCAGTCCGACGTACAACATCCTGAAGCAATGTACAACATCCTAAAGCAGGGAGATGCACTCGAAATCCCAGCAACAGTAGAAGCGCCAAGTGCTTCTTATATATATAAAGGATATTTGCCGGCTAAATTTGTGACTTTGTAACCAGTGTTTGTAACCACATAAGTGATTACGTAGTTGTGGCTTGCATGCGCACAAAAATGTGGGTTATTAAGCCACGACCTCCACAATCTCATTCGATGGCATAGTGAACTGGATTGGATCTACACTCATTGGCGAACTAATTCGTTCCGTGATCAGGTGAAGAGGCTGGTTTTTAGGGTTGCATTTTATCATCTATGGAGGGCTAGGAACAAAGCTGCATTTCACCAAACCTCTAGGACTGCCGTAACTATTGTGCGTTCAACTCTCTCTGCAATCCGAGATGTAGTAGCAGGTTGGAGTAAAGTTCCACTGTCCAAAGATAACTGGGAGCTAGCTATGGAACTTGGCTTGCCACATAGTTGTTTTAGCTAATGGATGTAATTTGGCTGGTGACTTTTGTATTTAGTTTAGTAAGATCTTGATGTAATTGGAATGTAAGTACCATTCCTGTGTAACTGTATATACTCTGTCATGCTTGATTAATTGAAAGTTAAAAATTGCTCAAAAAAAAAGGAAAAAATGATTCAAGGAGTTGATTTTTTTTTTACTCGGTAGTAGATACCTGTGAAATTAATCCTAAAAAATGAAAATACACCCTTAAAACTGTTTGACGAAGTCCATTTCCAACAAATTTTCCAATTCTTGAAGTATACTGTTACTGCAATTACACCTTTAAAAAATCATCAAACAGAAAACGACAAGTTTTCGATCAAGAATTCAAGAAAGTTGCATAAAAAAAAAAACCATCCGAGACTGACAGTACAACGAAACATGTTGAATTCTCAAATTCCGTGGCGTATTGGGCGGCTTATTGGATGCTTTTTGACTCCTAGAAATCACTCCTTAATGATGAAAATTACTGAATGACCAAGTCCCACATTAATGAGGCCAATTATTAACCTTATCGTGGTTGGACTCCAACGTGTCTAATGTCTTGGATTGTTGCAGTTGACTGATCAAATTCTCAAAATTCACGGAAGAAGAACCACTAGAACAAGAAGCAGCATCTTCTGCCAATTTTTTCCACTCCATGACTTTTTTCTTCATCTCCTTACCTTTCTTTCCAGACATTAACTCTATAACAAGACTTTCAACTTCATCCCTCTTAACATTGTTGTCTATCTCCATTCCAATGCCCCACTTGGTGCAGCAAATCCAGCAATTGGTTTGTTGATAAGCGAAAAATGGCCAACATATCATAGGCACCCCACTGCTCATACTTTCAATTGTGGAATTCCATCCACTATGAGTTAAGAATCCTCCCACAGACGAGTGGCTAAGAACTGTCCCTTGATTGCACCAACTTGCAAACAAGCCTCTATGTTTGGTTTCTTCCACAAATTCGTCAGGAAGAATAGCTAGATCGCCCTTGACCAGATCAGGCCTTATGATCCATAAAAAAGTTTGTTTGCTGTTAGCGAGTCCCCATGCAAATTCAACTAGTTGCTCAGGTGTCATTACAGTAATGCTTCCAAAGTTCACATAAACCACGGAGTTTGGTTCTTTTGAATCAAGCCATTCAAGACATTCTGGTTCTTCCTTCCAAAGATTTGATCCCAGCACCTCTAGACTCTTATCATCAACCTGATTCTCGAGGACATGTAGTGGCCCAATGGGATAGATTGGGGGAAGGTAAGCTGGAAGGGAACTTATTACATCATGGTCCAGTTCTTCAAAAGTATTTAAAATAATAGCGGAAGCCCTTTGAGCACTCTCAGTTATTTGTAGGATGAATTTTAGAATAAAGTCATCTGGATTTGTGGTTCTTAGGAAACTTGGAAGATCTCTCAAACGAATGCCTTCCATTCCGGGAATGATCCATTCAAGAACTGTATCAAGATACCCATTTGTCAAGTAACTAGCATCTGCAAAAGGTAACATAGTGATTTAGTTTCATCAAAATTGCAGAAGTTGAAAAAAGAAAAAGAAAAAGAATTTTATCCTTCTCTTGAAACTATTAAAAATTCTATATACACAATACACTCTTCTTAGGATGTGAAAGTAAATGATATAAAATCAAGAAGTTCTGCATCCGCCTCAGGCACTAAAAGAGTCAAACACACTTTAGAAAGCGGTAAAAATTTGAATTAAGGAAAGTTCCCAAAATATACATGAAAAAAGAAAAAAACAACGGAAGAGTGTGAAACATTTTGAACTTGAATTTTGGATTTATCATTACCTTTGAGTGGCGTGATACCCTTGTCAATAAGTTGTGAAAAGTGGAAGATTGCCAAGTAGGAACATGCACTGGCGGTCCAAAGATAAATTTCGGGAATGCCTAGCTCTTCAGCAGCTGCAAGTGTGAAGCTCATAGCTGCATCCGAAATTATGCAAGAAACAGGAGGTACGTTGGAGGAAGAGGTATCATCGAGTCTGGCAAGAAGTTCTCTAAATGGACCTAAGCCATGCTTATCGGTGGACTCACAAAGGGAAGCAATATCTTGGGTGGCATCCACATCAGAAGGAGGAAGCCCATCAGGAATGGTTTCGAATTGGAAATCAGGTAAACCATTGAGGGAATCAGGACCTCTAGATTTTAGCAAGCGTTTGTGGTTGAATTCGCTGTTAACAAAGGTGATATGAAAACCTTTGTGGTGAAGAAGCTTGGCAAGTTTAAGCATGGGGTTTATGTGACCTTGAGCAGGGAATGGGATGCAGACCGCATGAGGCTTCTTCTCTAACAAAGAAATGGAATCCATTCTTTAAAGTTTGAAATTTTGAGGAGGATTCAAAACAATGAAATGGATATAAAATTGCTGTAATAAGCAAGTAATGAGAGAACCTGAAGAAGAAATATATAGGTCGATCGACTTACGAGGTTTGCAATTTGCATGCAACCATGAGTACGTTGATTATTCTTTAATCTTACAGGGTTCTGAAAATCTGACCCGATTATTTCGTGGAAGAAAAAGTCAATTTAGCAAGCAACCTCCAGTTGCTGAAGGTGGAACGGAAAAAGTCAATTAAGCACTGTAAGTTACTGAGCTCATTGCTTTAGTAATAAGGTCGAATTCAAGTGAAGCAAGCACCGTTCATCTGTCCTTGGTACAGGGTTCGTCTCAGGTCCTATCAGAGTAAGACAAGATTCAAGTTGTTGGGTTTGGGCCAGCCCATTTTTGGGCCAAACCACAAAATAAATCCCATCAGATTGAAGTCAAATTTGACTTGGAAAGCTTTAGCCGAGAGATAGAAATCAACCGAGGAAGAAATATAGCAGCCGTCACTTTTTTTTCTTAAAAAAAAAGGAAGAGAGAGAAAAGAATAAAGAAGTTAGAGAGAGAGAAACTTCAAAATTTTGATTGAAAAGTAATTCGAAATCTGATTGCGACGAAATTTTATCCATGCGATCCTCTCGTCAAACTCTACTCATCTACCGATTCAAATTTTGAATTTTCTCTTCATTTCGTAACATCCTTCCAAACCCATTTCATTGACGGTTGTAATTTTTGAAAGTGATTTTGTAACGATTTAATTTGGTTGATATTGGTTATATTATTGTCATTTGGATGTTCTAAATATACCTGTATATTTTCATTATTATGATAATGGAGATTTTTTATTGGACTAGATCCAGTGATTTTTTTCAATTTAGGTTTTTCACGTAAAAATCTTAGTGCCCTGTG